GCCCTGGCAGAAGACAGAGCCTACCCGCTGGTTCACATAAAGAGAGGTGTGGGTGGGGTTAAGGAAGCAAACATGGGTGTGGAGGCCCTGAGAGACCACTCCTAGGCCTGAAGGGTAAAGAGAGGAGTGTCTTCCTGAACCTGGAGAGGACTGGAGCCATGGGAGGAGCCAGCTACAGCCAGAGAAACAGCATGGACACAGTGGCAGCAGGGAGCACATTGCCCTATCTTCTCTCTCCTGGCACCTTCCAGTCTCCTGGTGGGGCCTTTAGATCCAGCCAGAAACCAGAGGGCAAGGGAGCCCAGAAGTTGCTAACTTTGGATCCCACCTCTGAGAGCACAGAGAAGGCAAAGGACAGGACTTGGGTGGGGGAGACAGAGGAGATGGGCTTGGCGAATGACTAAAACAAAGAGAGTCAGGGAGGATTCCTGGGATACTTCCAGATCCCTAACATGGGTGACAGGTGGATAATGGCACTGCTCCCTGAGTTGGGAAGAGATAGAGCTGCTCAGGGGAAGCTGATGGGCTCAGCTTTGGCTGTGAGTGTGTAGGTTTTATGGGACAGCTAAGTATTACCTAAGTCTCCAGAGACAGGGACATATGCCGGTCTGGAGCTCAGAAGAAAGATAGGAACTGGGAAAGAGGTAAGGGAATTGTCAGCACAAAAGTGGTTGAAGCTTGAAAGGGGGGGGGGGGGATAACCCAAAGAGAGCCCTTAAATCGGCAGGTCTGAGCCCTAGGGCCCACTCCCATCTTAAAGAGGTAGAGAGAAACGTAATACATCCCTTTGCAGGAGCCTAACCAGTGCTGACCCTGAGCAGAGCCAGCCTGGGGTGGGCATCTCTGTGGGAGTCCCACGGTCCTGCTTTCAGGGTCTTTCCCCTAGTGTGCTTTCATCACTGTCTGAAGAGCTGTCTCCGAATGGGGCGTGAACCCACTGGGATCTTCTTGAGAAAGAATATACTACAGCTTTTATTTACCTTTTATGTAGAAAAAAATGAAAGCAATTAAGCTTTACTAATATTTAATACTTGAACTGACCCTGGGGCCCGGCTCAGTGGGTGTGTCTAGTGGTCTTTATGCAGGAACCCTCTGGAGAAGGGAGTGTTGGTCAATCCATCACATCAGAGAGTGAAGGGGCATAGTGTTGATAACCCCCAAGACAACCCCCAGCTCAGTAATTCACTAGAAGGATCCAGCGTTAGTGGTACTCAGCAATGATTTATTACATCAAAAGACCATAAAGAAAAATCTGCAAAGGGAAAATGTTCAGGCGATGAAGACCGGGGAAAACCAGGTGCAAGCTTCCAAGAGCCTCTCCCAGTGGATTCACACAGGATGTGCTTAATTCCCCAGCAACAAATTGTGACAACACATGAAATGTTGTCTACCAGGGAAGCTCACTAGACACCCAGTCCCCTCAGGGTTATTATCAGGGGTGGGTGCCTAGCACAGACCAAAATCCCAGACTACCAGAAGGAAAGCAGGTGTGTAACATAGGCCAGGTTGTTTGCACAAACAGTTCGGGCACAGAGAGTCACTCTGATCTTTGAGGGGATGGTGGGAACCTTCCCCAAATCCAGGTTCACAGACAGCAGCTTAAGGGCCAGCCTTGCCAGCAGGCCAGTAGACACAGTCTGCTATGCCTGCAACTCTTTTCTGCCCAGAAATCCTCAACCATTCTTTGCTCTCAGTCTGTGGCAAGATATTGCAGTTTCCAGATGCCAGCTTCAATTTATATGATTGAGTTTTAGCTAATTTAACTCATTTATATCATTGAGTCTTAATGAATTTAGGCCTCACAAAATAGACAAGTGGCCTGAAAATTATTACTTTAAAAAGAACACACATAAGTCAAGCAAATATAATGCTAAGCACATTGGGGTGACACTTCTACCCGAAACAGATCTTTGTCAGCCACCTGATGAGGTAAAAATGATGCTATTATTTCATCCTTGACCATCCTTTTAAAATTTCCATGTTCTGTGTATGTTCATGGTGAAAACTGTTTTTTCTGGTAGGAAAACATGATCAAGATGTATGAAAGCCATTGGTCTTAACAATGGCAACCCATTTGCTTTGGAAGTGTGTTGAGATCACTCAGGATAGGGTCCTCAGGCTGGTCAGCCACCCGGTGTGTCCTGTCCCTTTGACAGCTGACTCCTGGGCATGGATGAACCTGATTTGGGTTAAGGAGACTCTGTTTGGGGAGAAGGGAGCACGGTGTGGGGGAGAGAGGGCTTGACTGGGCCCAGGCGCTGAGTTCCAGGCTCAGCTCTGATGGAGCTGTGTGGCATAGATGACAGAAACATCTTAAACACTGTCTCAGCTTCCTCACCGGCAGAGTGGTTTTCTCACTCAACTGACAGCTCCAAAAGCATCCCCCTGGTTTTTGTTGTTGTTTTGTTTGTTTGTTTTTATCATGTATTTAGCCTCTAATACAGTCTTTGACTTGTAGTGGCATATACTTAGGATTTTTCAACTTGCAAAAATGATTCCCATTCAGTAGAGACCTACTCTGAATTTTGACCTTTTTCTGGACTAATGATATGTGGTACATTATTCTCTCACTAGAGGCCCGGTGCACGAATTCGTGCATGGGTTAGGTCCAGCCGGCCCGCCCCGACTGGGGCTGATCAGGCTGAGCCAGCCCGGAGGAGGGGATGCAGGAGGTGGGCCAGCCAGGGGGAGGAGCCGCAGGAGATTGGCCAGCCGGCCCTGCCCCCGATCGGGCTGGTTGGCTGGCCATAGTGCAAGTCATAGCAACCGGTCAATCTGGTCATTCCAATCGTTCCGGTTGCTTGGCTTTTATATATATAGATGATGCTGGGCAGCAGCAGTGAGATAATGGAAGTGATCTGAGCACTTTAAGGTAGGCTAGGCTAAGCTAGAATGGTCCGTCAGTTAGGTGTATTAAATGTATTCTCACTTACAGTGGGTTTATGGGACATAACCACATTGCGTAAGAAGAGAAGCACCTGTACTTACTCAATGAGCATAAGAAGGAATGAACAAATGCGTGAATGAGATGATCTTTAAGATCCTATGAAACTCTAATAGACTAGGCATGTATGATCTAGTCATTGAATGAGCTCAGGTCTAAATTTGCAATAATTGGCTCCTTCCCCTCTTTGTTCTGTTCACTTTCCTGGCATTATCATATGGGTGATACTGTGGCCATCCTATGCCTTCTCTAAAGGACTGATTCATTCTTGCCTGTCTGATTTGTCCTTGTTTTTGAAATTTAAAAAAAAAAAAAAGGTAAGTGCCCACCTGTACATTGTCAGCATTCCTACCTCACATGTCCATGTTTCTGAAAAATAACTGTAATGCTGTCATCCTTTCTGGACTTAAAGGGTTTAGCGTTGCAGTCTACCTAGCTTGTTCCTATTTTCACAAAGAAAGTAGAAAGGGGAAATGCTTTGTCTCTGAAAAGCTGGAGAGCCAAGTGTCCAGGAAGGCAGAATGAAGGGACTCCATGAAGGCACCTGGCTGGAACATTTCTGGGAACTTCCTGCACATGCTGAAGGCACACTTGGGCCGGGCGAACCTGCTGTGTCCAGTTCCTCTGGCCACCAAGGGCCTGACCTGTCTGGTCTAGCCTGGCTATCTCTCTCTCTTACCACATCCACCTTCTTGTGTTCGGCTGAGGCAGGTGAGGACTTTTCAAAGGAAATTTAGCACAATAGAGCTGAGGAAAAGCAGAGGAAGAACCAAAGCCTAGAACTAGAGTTCACAGAGCAGCCAGCTTTTTTGTCCCAATGAGCAGGAGGCCCCAGTGGCACACAGCCCGGGGCTGGGCCCAGCCTGGAGCTAGGCGAGTGTCCTGCCTATTGGAGGGTGTCCAGTCCAGCTGGTGAGGATGAAGTCTGGAGAGGCTGATCATGATGGCAGTGCAGGCAGGGAATGGGCATTCAGAAAGCGCCCAAACCTAACAGATGGTGACTGGCCCTTTGCAACCTGCAGGGATCCAAGCTATTGGTGCCTTTCAAGGCTGGCAGTTCCCATCAGTCACCATCCCAGGGCTGGGGATCAGGGTACATCTTTGTCCTGGGGAATAGGCAACAGCCAGACAGAGTCTTAGTCCTGAGCAGGGACCCATGGTCCAGCATGGGCTCAGGGACCAGGCTGGCCTAGCACTGAGTAACCAGACTCCTGAGGTCGCAGCTCAGTGGGCGCTAAGTGGCCTAACTGTGGTGGGAGGGCCGGGGTGGCTGGGCAGCAGAATCCGGGCAGCATCCGCTCCTCTCTTCCTCCAAATGCCTGAGGAAAGGGGCCCTGGGCGGAGTGGGAAGGTCCTAGCCCTTTTCCTCTGGCCTTCCTCCCTAAACGAGCAGCCCCTCATGATGGCCTGGAGCTGGCCCGGTGCACAGTGTGTCCTCCAGGGCCAGCTCTAGCCAAGTCCTGCCTTTTTCTACCAAAGTGCTGGGTTTGCTGAACACTGAGAGGGCCCATCACGGGCTCGTTCACCTGCCCAGGCTCAGCCCCTGTGGCTCAGTTACTTCCTCCACCCACTGCCCAAAACACAGGACCCATAGAAGGTTCCGGGGCCACTTGGTCTCCTATAGATTCAAGTGAAGAAGCAGAGAGGGCAGCAATTATGTTCCCTTCTGCAGGTCTGTCTCCCCAAATGGAAGGCACTCAAGGAAGAAGGGGAAGAGGGAAGACCAGAGGGCTGTCCTGGGGCCCTCAGTGGGCCCTGAGTGGTCCTGGGGCCTTTCATGCCTCTCTCTGTGGCTGGCTTCCTTGGGGCCTAATCGAAGGCAGGATTTGAATCTCAAATGCCTCAGTTCCCAGGGCTCTGGATCCAGCAAGTGGCTGATAGAACTAAATGTCTATCAAATTGAAATGCGATTGAAAGACTGTTGATATTAGTAAAACTCTATGAAATGTAGAGTGTCTGTTCCCATCATCTAGAGTCCCCTTGTTGGGAAACTCATAAATGACGGGGTCGGTCCACCTAGGAGGTATTAATGCTTGTGTTTTCTCATGGCCTCTAGGTCAGGACCTGGATTCTCACTGTGGGCTACACAACCGCCTTCGGGGCAATGTTTGCAAAGACATGGAGGGTCCACGCCATCTTCAAAAATGTGAAAATGAAGAAGAAGGTAATCACTCCTTCTGTTTCAGGGTGTCTGCAGTGTCCAGGTAGCATTTATTTAACAAATATTTATTAAGCATCTACTATGTGCCAGGCACTAGGCTATTTGCTGGGAATTCAAGATAAACACAATCCCTGCCTCACCCCACCCCATCTATACCTTCAGTCACTTGGGAAAATCATACAGTTTACAAAGGGTTTCCCATGCACAGTGATAAGGGCTGATCAGGGACATGGGGGGGGGGGGCGGTGCTGGGGTACGAGCACTCAGGGAAGGCTTCATGTAGTAAGTGTCACCTTGCTGAGGCTGGAGGGTGAGTGGGGATTAGCCAGACAGAGGCTGGGGAGTTTTCGAGCCCTATAGAGGGGATAGTACACAGAGGCCTGGGGAGGGGGAGGTGTATTCTTGTTGCTGAAAGAGGTTCAATGTGGCTGGGGCACGGGATTCGCGGGGACAGGGTATGAGAAGAGGCTCCAGGGAAAGGCAGAAGTCATGGTAAGGAATCTGAACTTTAACTTTTGGGCACTGGGATCCCTTAAAAGAGGGGAATGATACAGGACAGGGACCTGATTTAATCATTCCATGTTCAAAGAGGCCCTTGGAAGACAGGAGTTCTGTCTTCATGTGGGTGGAAAGCATTTGTTACCAGCATGCTGACTAAGCTTGATTCTTAGGATGTCAGAGAGAAACTTTCTCCACCACTGTCCCTTTAACTCTTCCAGTGGTGCTTCCTCCCTTGCTCCTAGATAAAATTTGGGGCAAGTCTCCTGACTTTGAAGGTCCTCTGTCAGCAACTAATATGTGGAGTCCCTCATAATATCCCAAATTTCAAGCTGCATTCAAGGGCACAGCTTCTCCCTCCCCAGCTCAGCCCTGTGGCAGGCCTGCCACCTGCCCTGGGAGAAGGGGTGCAGGTGGGCTGTTTTTCTCTTTTACCAGCACATTCCCAAGGTTTCTGAACCCTCCAGAGTTGGAGTTTGGAGTAGTAGAAGGGGCAGGAATGACCTTACTTGCCAGTAGCTGACATTAGGCTTGCTGGGCCTGGCGTGGATTAAGCAGGCCCTTTAGACTCTCTGGGTATCTTTATGGGTTTTCCAAAGGCCCCATTACTGGGACTTTCTCTCCAGCGGTGCCCTTGACAGGGGTGAAATACTCTGCCAGTTGGCCGTGTGGCTTCTTCCACCCTGAGCATCTGGCGGATCCCCCTCTCCTGGGCTCGGCTCGCCTTCCAGCTTGTCTTGTTCAGGGCCACACAGCACTCCCTTGCCCTGTGAGCCACTTCTGCTATGCAAGAGGCACCCGCACATCCTTCACTCTTATAATCTCAAGGATTTTGGATTGACCCCACTGTAACAGACGCCCCCTTTTTTGCCTCCTCCCCCCACCTCAAGGGCAGCTGGCCAGCCTGTCATCCCCTCCCCTAGGCTTCTCGGATAACAGAGCAGCATCAGCAGCATCTAGGACAGTGGTTCTCAACCTTCCTAATGCCGCGACCCTTTAATACAGTTCCTCATGTTGTGGTGACCCCCAACCATAAAATTATTTTCGTTGCTACTTCATAATGTAATTTTGCTACTGTTATGAATCGTCATGTAAATATCTGATATGCAGAATGTATTTTCATTGTTACAAATTGAACATAATTAAAGCATAGTGATTAATCACAAAAACAATATGTAATTATATATGTGTTTTCCGATGGTCCTAGGCGACCCCTGTGAAAGGGTCATTTGACCCCCAAAGGGGTCGCGACCCACAGGTTGAGAACCGCTGATCTAGGAGCTTATTAGAAATGCACCTTCTCAGTTCCACACCCTCCCTCCCCTGCCCCAGTCCTAGGAATCCTGGTGGGAGCCCAGGAGCCTGCTTCTCACCAGCCCTTCCCAGGATGCTGATGCAAGCCAAAGTCTGAGAGGCACCGAGGGACTTCCTGAGCCCTCCTGCTCTGCGGCTCTGTTAGAGAGAGGCTCTGCCACTAGGACAGCTCCATCCTGGCTTTGAAGAATCGCAGTGTTGATTCCTCTGTGCCCACATGTGATTCATCCATACTGTGATCTGTAATAAAGAACCAGCCTTTATGTCCCATTACTCATGTGATTGGTGAGCAAGAACACTGATTATCTGGTAACAGTTGACAAAACATGTCAAGAAGACTATAGGAGTTGAGTTGTCTGAAAGCTCCCCAGAGGCAGAGCTGTGATGTGGCCACAGCCTGCTGCACCCCTGGGAGTCTGGGCACCTGAGAGCTCCAGCTGGTGGTGGGCCTAGGGGTCTTGTCTGAGAAACTGCAAAAGGCTCTGAGTACAGATTTGGTCACCAGTTGTGTCTGTTGTGCAGATGATCAAGGCCAGATGCACACACCATTCCATCAGGAGAAACTCCTGCTCTCAGCCTCCTAGTTACTCCAGGGGCAGGTTTGCAGGGCCGCATTCACAAACCAAACTAGAGGAGTTAAAGGTGGAAAAGAGACCTTTGTCTCATAATTGGGAACTCAAGGCTGGGAACCAGATTGTTTTGAAAGGGTTGTGGTAGTTGCAGGTCAAAACTGGGATTGAATTCTCCATGCTTTTCTTTTATATGGCCAAGGTGGGTTTTTATTGTTCAGTTTCATTGTGGTTTTATTTTTAGTTTAGACTTTTTTTATTAAAATGGACCCCTTAATTTTTTTTTTACTGACGTATATACTAGATTTACAAAAATTTGTAAATGCAATTATACGCTTTTTCTCATATAGTCTTTTTATCTTTTTCTTCTTTCCCTGGCTCCCACCTCCTTGTCCCTCCATCCACGATGGCATGCCCTCCCTAAATGCACATATGGCTAGATTTTTTTTAAGACATTAAAGGAAAAGAAGCCTTTTGACATGTGGTGATTTAATGCTCCCAAATTCGGTATTTTTATAGCATTTACTCTTTTGTCTAAGGGCCAGTCATAAACTCTTGAACTGAGAAGCCTCATTGCAGTCTTTATTCTGCCTCTTCCTAGAGCCGAGCTGAAATGTTGAGATGAGGGCAGTAACTCAGAGATGAGATCTTCTCCTGTGGGCAGAGGGGGTTTTGTTGTTGTTGTTTTTTTTTTTGTTTGTTTTTTTTTTAGGGAAAAGAAAGTTCACTACAAATATTACTTGATTCCGTTGCCATCAGTGACATAGGGATATCCACTCAGGTCTTTATCCAGGCTCAGCTTGAGGAAAATGCCAAGAGAGGAGTTTGAACAGCTTCACTAAAGCATCAGCCATCTGAGTGAGGCAGGAAGGCAGGGCCACTGTGTGGCACGACCCGGGAGACACCATTCACACTGTATTCCCCTGGGAATGGTGTACCTGAAACTAGACAAGGAGTTGGTCCTAGAGAAGTCCAGTCTGAATCAGTCAAAAAAACATCTGAAGGTTTTTGAAGAAGTAAAGAAATGCCTTTTTGGGAAACCAGGAGTCAGCTGCTGCTTCTGTAAAGAGCCAGAAAGTAACTCTGTCAGGCTTTGCAGGCCATACGGTCTCTGCTGCCACCACTCAGCTCTGCGGTTGTAGAATAAAAGCAGCGGTATCCATACGTGAATGGAAAAGGCTGTGTTCCAATAGAACTTTATTTATAAAATCAAGCAGTGGGCCATATTTGTGGTTCGCTAATCCCTGTTCTAACAACAGTGGGAAGTGACATGTAATAATAATAGCTGACGTCTGTTGAACAGTAACTGTGAGCAGAGCTCTAGTAATCTCACGTGGTTTGTGTAGTTATCACCCCCATTTTGTAGATGAGGATACTGGCTCAGAGAGATTACAAGACTTACTCAAGATCATATAGCTAGTTGTAAGATGAAACTCAGATCTGGTTCCAGAACCTGGTGCTTCCTCATTCCTGGGTGCCTTCGCTCCCATCTCTGTCAGTGAGGATGGAGCGCTAGCAACTTGCTAGCCTCAGAGCGAGAAAGAAGCGTGATATAACAGAGAGAAGAGGAAGCTGAAAAATAGGGAAGTCAGGGAAGCTGATGGGAGACTTGTTAGCCTTGCCTAACATGAGGATTCTCTGGTGCTCAGGCTTTGTATGATCAGGTCAGTGCTATTTTTAAATTTAAAAATTTAGATCTCTTTTTAAAAGGCTATTTTAAATCACCTCTCCTTGACCTTCTATTGTGTATATGTGTGAGTACTTATCAAGTTATTCACAATCAGTCTCCCTCACTATCATGCATGCTTCATGTGGATGAGATATTTATGTTTTGCCCATTCCTGTGCCTAAAATAGCTCACTCTGAGTAGGCGCTAAAGTTTTTCTGCAATTAATAAGTGAAATGTGGCTTAAATCTATTCAGTCACAAACACGAGCCAAGTGCCAGGCTTTGGAAATGGTGCCAAAAGGAAATGAGACATGTCCTTCCTCTTATTCTCAGAATCTTCCAACCATGGATTCACCAGTGTGATCATTAGCCCTGAGTCTAGTAGAGCTAAGGTGCAATATCACATTTTGCCCCTAGATGTCACTGCCAGGCACATAAACAGAATTGCTAATTGTCAAAACCCAAGTAATGGTAGCCAAATAACACATAGCTGCCATTTGTTGAGCATCTTCTCTGTGCCAGACACTGTAACTAGGTGCTTTCACTATATCTCCTTTTAATCTTATACCAACTCTGCAGCTTCGGGCCCAGTGATCCCAGTTTTAGAGGTAGAAATGAGCCCCAGATCACATTTGTCAAGAGCTGGCATTTGAATGAGATCTTCTAAATCCAAAGCCCATGTTCTCCCCTTGGCACCACACTTAGAGTAATACATGAGCCTCCCTACTCCCTTCGTCCCTCTGCTCCTTGCCATTTTATAGATGAGAACTGCAGAATGAGAGAGGAAGTGATTTGCCCAAGATCACACAGGTAGCAAGAGATGCAGCCACAAATGCTGTCAGTGCCAAATCCAGGTCCACATAATCTCAAATTCTGTTTTCTCACTGCCCCGTGCTACCTCAAACTTCATACTTGAGCCTTAAAATTGGGAAGACTATCACATTTATCAAAGGGAAGTTCTGGTGCTCGTCTTTGAAGGCCAGCTGTGCCACATGTATGCCTTCCTATTCAGGCACCAGCGGAAGAGGTGCTGCATCCACTCTGAAGGGAAGTCTCCACCCCTTGCAGGTGACTCCTTCAGTGTGGCCACGCCCCCATGTCTCTCAGCTCTTTCCCTTCAATGTGCCACTTCTTGTCCAGTGTATACTGTGTAGTCCCAATAGGCCCAAGGTTTTGTGTGCTGGAGTGTAAGGTGTTCCACACTTCTGTACCTTATGGGAAGAGAGCAAGAGAAAATTGCACGACTGAGTAAGTTCAAGGTCCTTATTGCCTCCTGGAAGTAAGACTATGGGAAGGGTCGTAGGCCTTTAGTCTCATGGGAAAGCCATGGCAGAGAAGATGGGATCTGGAGGTGCTGGCACTTACTGGTGGGGGAAATTTGGGGAGGGGAGGGGACTGAGAGGCTAAAGCCAGATGGACAGGAGGATGCCCAGTGTTTGTGGCCTCGGCATCCTCTTGTCCATCCTGGCAGCCACTGCTCTGCATCTTGCCTCCTCCCTGCTCACCAGGACAACTAGCCTAGCTTCTAACTGGTCTCCTACCGCAAGCCTCCGCCTCCAGTCTGAAGACTGCTCCTATCACACTGATGCTTAAAGATGCTCAAACATCCAGTGGACCCTTGTGAGGCCCCATTGTGTCACACAAGCTCTCCCCCTCCACCTAGCCCTGTCTCCAGCCACCCCCTACCCACCCCACTCATGCTCAGCCACACACAAAGCCTGAAGGGTGAAAAACACAACTCAGCCAAAGAGTAGGGAAAGGTTAAGCAGCAATGAAGTGCACTTGCTTGGGGAATAGTCAGACCAAGCTTGGGAAAGGCTTGAATGCCAAGCAAAAGAGCTTGGCTGAATTTATCCTGTGCACGACAGGGAGTCACAGAAGACTGGAACCAGGTGACATGACGTGGTCCCTCCCTCAGCTGCCATCTGAGGAAGCTCCTCTGATGTTGCAGTGCTGCCTCCATTGCCTGACATTAACCTCCTCCCAAGCCCCGTGTCCCCCAGCTCCTCCTCTGTGAATCCACTTCCTCTCCTCCAACACCCTCTTGTCATCCTCCAGGACAAGTCCGTCTCTCCTGCCGACCCTGGAGGGCAGCACCGGGGTCTGTCCATCTCTGTGTCACCAGTGCCCAGCACAGGGCCTGGCACTGAGTGAGTGCTCAGGGCATGTTTTCTTAGAGCATCATCCATCAGCCAATGCTTATTGAGTACTTTTTCGCTGACAGGTGCTAAGAATGGGGCAATTAGCAAAAACCAAACTGCACAGAGCTCACAATGTAATAGGATGACAGACATAAATCAAATTATCAGGATTATAGTGTGAAGTGGCTACTCGTGGGGACATCAGGGTAGGAGGGTGCCAGCAGAAAGGCTGGGGAAAGACCTTCCACGGGTCAGGCACAGCGTGGGCAAATGCTCGAGGACTCAACCCGCCCTGGGTGAGCATCACCCCGCGAGCCTGTGCTCCGAGTCCTAAGCTCCTCAGGCATTTCCTCCTTTTGGCCCAACTTCTCAAGGCTGGCAGGGTGTTGCTTAGCTTCCCCGAGGGCAAAGGTTAGCTGGGTTTATGAAAAGCGTCAGCGGTTCCTTAGATGCTTCTGGAAAATCTCAAGGAGGGGGCTTTGCCAGCGCTTGCCCCAGGTAAAGTGGTTTTGGTAGATTGGATCTCTTCGGCAATAACTCAGAGATACTTTCTTCCTGTTCTTTTCACGGTTCAGCTGCAAAGAGGTCCCTTGAGTTTCTATTTCTCCTTTAAAAATGGCTTTAATCATTAAAAGCCAGACCTGGTGATATTTCTTAAGCTTCTGCCTCAGCTTTGTTTATTTTTCTATAATCTTTTCTAGAACTACTTCTTCACATTAGCTTTTATTGGAGGTGGGGATGGTACATAAAGCATGCAATGAGTGAAACACAAGTTAGCTTTGGCACTGACAGCGTTTGTCCCCAGGCCAATCCCTACCAAACGGACAGAAAGTGGGGTGGGAATTTCATAGTGCAATAAAGATATCAAATGCTGCAAAGACAGATGGAAGTTATATTTCTTCCTTTTATATGCCTTCATCTCAGTTCAATCCATCAAATTCCCTACTGCGTGCCAGGCCCTGCTAGGTACTGAGGATACACAAATAAATGTTAACTGAGAAGGGCAGATGTGTATACAACTTAATACAATGTTGGGTCGGTGCTGTAAATATTGGAGGGTATGGACCCTGGAGATAGGAGAAACGTGGTTCCAATCTGGGCTTCACCTCTTAGTAGCAGTATTACTCTGAGCAAATTACTTAACCCTGCACTAGCCTCAGTTTCTTCATCCATAAAATGGGAAAAACAATGTGCGTCTTTAGATATGAGATGATGTATGTAAAGCCGTCAACCTAGAGGCAGGTTGTTCTTACTACTATTACTACTCCTGATAATGAAGTATCTGAACAGTGCTATAGAAGTAATTAGTTCTGCTGTGGGAGTGAGAGGGGACTTCATGGAGGAGATAACAATGGGTCTGGGTCTTTAAGATTATTAGGAGTTTGCCAGACCGAAAGAAAAGAGTGTTTTGGACAAAAGAACCAGCTCCTAAATAGGAGTGGGAGGTGAAAATCACAGCAGGGCCGCAAACTAGGAGTTGTCAGACTTAACTAAGTGCAGCGTGTGTGTAAAGGTGGCCAGGCCACGCTCGGGAAGGACCTTGAATGTCCAGCAGGGAGCTTGGCTGGTTTATCCTGTGATGATGAGTCTCAGGAGATTCTCCCACTGAGGGTGACCCGATTCCGTCACTCCCTGACCCGGCCCCTCACTTCTATCTGGGAAGTTCTCTCTCTCACATGCACTGCGTGCTGCTCTCGCCCTCGCTGCAGATCATCAAGGACCAGAAACTGCTTGTGATCGTCGGGGGCATGCTGCTGATTGACTTGTGCATCCTGATTTGCTGGCAGGCTGTGGACCCCCTGAGAAGGACGGTGGAGAAGTACAGCATGGAGGTAAGCGCAGGCATCAGTAGGAGGGAGGCCCTCGGGACGCTGCTCCCAGACACCTGGGGACAGAGGCAGCCCGTCTACTCGGCTGCCCACGGTACACTCCTTGAGAAGAAATCAAGATTGTCACAGGGAAATCATCACAGGTCCACATGGGCCCACGTTCTCTATCAGAGACATCTCATTATTTCTGCTTTCCTCCGTTTGATACCAACATTATTTCAGGAAGGCCAGATAGACCGTCTTCACTCCTGGGGGCGGTGGTGAAAGAATTTGTCTAGGTATATTGATATATGCAGAATTACGGGGAAATGTTGGGCCGCTGATATGAATATATTTCCTACACATTGTAGAAATCTCCATTTATATGATCTACTGGTCCAGAAATTACATTGCATTGTTATTCTCTTCTTTAAAATCAGTTCCCTAATGAGTGCTCCTAGGGAATAAGCATGCTGAGAGCTCCTGTGAGGTACTATATGATTTTCAAAGTGGTAAACAATAGATTTCTTTTCCCACATTTAATATCAGAAATTTGTTTGTTAAAATAAAGAACCTTACATAAAAGTGCTGTTAAACATATATTGGAATAGTCTTGCATTCAGCCTTGCCCTTCATTCAGTGATCTTCCCAGGATTCTTAAGATTAGGGAAGATCAAGATTAGGGAAGCATATTTTTGTTGATTTTCTCTGGAACAGTTAAAGATGCCCTCAGTAGAGAGAGCCGGCTGCGCAGGGTGTGCTGTATGCTGTGATTTCTCTATGGAGTAGTAAATTCTGATGAGAAAACTGGAATTTTTTCCATTTCTCCTACTGCATGGTTAGGGAAATTTTTTTGTGGCTTTCAGTGTGACTTCTTAAACTAACCTGGAAACCATTGTTTTATGCATTGCGGCCAGAGCCTTTTATCCTTCTGGACAAGAAGGTTTTCTAGCAAATAAGATGCCCAGCATCGTTTGTCTGGAGACAGACAGGGTTTGCGCAGCACAGTGAGAAATTATGCAGTCAGAGTGGTGGCCGAGGATGCAGTTTCTAACAGCGTGGATTTAGGAGGGAGATTTAGGGCTGTGGCCTTCGTCTTGTTGCCTTAGGTGTACATCCTTCCTGGGAGGAAGCAGACCCAACAGACCCAGACAGATCCAACACTGGCTGTGCCCATGGATCAAGGGGCAGGAGCTCCGCTGAGGTCACCTGGGTAGCAGGCTGTTTCCAGAAGGGAGGTGCTATCTGGTCACCATTCATCCATACAGGTGGCAAAGGAGTAGTCCTGTCCCCCAGCCCAGCCCGGGGGAATTCCTTATCCACCACGCCACCACTGGCTGGGCAGTGTGATCCCATTGTAATGATGAGGAAACCGCCTGGCCAGCATGGCTCAGTGGTTGAATGTCAACCTATAAACCAGGAAGTCATGGCTCATTTCCCGGTCAGGTCACATGCCCGGGTTGCTGGCTTGATCCCCAGTGGGGGGCGTGGGGGAAGCAGCTGATTGATGATTCTCTCTCATCATTGATGTTTCTATCTCTCCCTCTCCCTTCCTCTCTGAAATCAATTAAAAACAATTTTTTTTTTTAATGATGAGGAAACAAACCCAGAGAGGCTATATAATTTAACCAAGATTACTCAGCAGGTTAGTGGCAACACCACTGACTACCCTCTCATCTACTACCCCACCCTGCCTTTCAACACATGACAGCACTTTGCATTTTTAGGGGTCTTCATAGACCTTTGGTCATTGGCCACAGATCTGTGAAGCAAGTAGGACAGGGGAGTGTGTCCACATTCTGCAGATGAGGACTAAAATACAGTCATGGCCGACTGAGGAAAGAAAGGGAGGGAAGAGAGGCCAGTCGAACAGAGCCCTCGGGAAGACCTGGAGTAGGGCAGGTGGACAGAAAACAGATACAGCTGGCTTGATACTGAGCCCAAGGGCAGGCAAGGACATGGGCATGGCTACCTTCACTCAAGGTTAAGTTGGGGCTGGGCATTCACTAGGGGTCCGCAGGCTCCGGCTGTGGTGGGGAAAGACTGTGGAGTTGGAGTCAGCCTGAGTCAGCCGACTCCAAAAATGGATCTAAGAAGCCTGTCCCCCTGGACCTTTCCAAGGTGGTCAGTCTTGTGCAGTCCGATTCTTTTAGTAAGTGATGGTTTGCTGTCATCGTCTTCCCTTTCTTCCTTCCTTTCTGTAATAAGTCCTGCTGCTCTCAAGCTCTGAGCATAGAACCCTATCCCTTGCCAGACCTTCCAGGGCAATGATTCTCAAACTGAGGAGCTGTGGGCTGCCATGGAAGTGCCTCTCTGTATAGAGAGAAAACTGAGTCTGGGACAGGGGAGGGTCCCACCTGGGGCATCCAGACCTTCCCAGGCCAGGCTGGAGGAGAGCCAGCTCTGGCTCTCAACTCAGATGCCCTGTCTCTGTGTTTCCCTCCAGTTATCTGCTGAGATTTCTCTCTAAACCTTTTCTGGCATGCTCCTCTTTTCCTCTTATTTTAGAGTTTCCCTGTCACTCTGTTGCCATGGTAGCAGAACCCTTTGATTTGTTGAACCACAGGCCTGTCGATTTATTGTCGTTTATCCACCAAACAGCGCTAAGCTGTCATTTGTTTTCTGTCAGACCCTCATCTGTCAGACACAGTGTGATGACTGAGCAGCATGCCCAGGGGATGAGGAGTCCAAAATTCTCCCCGCGGGACTGTTTTTCCTAGGACCTCCAACAAGAGAGAAAGTCTACGCTTGGGGGAGAGGTGATCAGAGATCTTTGTGGTCTGTTCCCTCTTCCCCTCGCCTGCCCCAGATGCCTTAGATTGTTCCGGATACTCTGAACACATCAGGATTCCACTCACAGCCCTTGCTCTGTGTTTCATTTTCAAGTCTGTGCCCATGCTTACCCCTTCTGGAACCTTCTCTGACAAATAAATGAACTTCAGTTCCAGGCCCTGTGTTACCACCAGATTTACAAGCCGGCCTTTCTCTACTCCCATCCCTAGCATCCTGAACATTCCTCTGTGGGAACATTTCACATGCTGTTCATCTGTGCTGAGTGCATCTCTGACCCACCCCACTCATCCCTGCTGGACCACCAGCTTCTCCAGGGCCAGGCAACTTCTGAGCAATCTCCCTCACTGCCCAGCCCAGCACCCCACACACATCTTCCATCTTCCACTGGGGAGATCGAGGTGAGCACAGCAGCCATAGCCTTCGATTTTACGTTGCCCACAGGCTAGTGGGGGCTGATAGACATGTAAACAAATAAGAATAATTATTTTAGATTGCATAGGTCCTGATAAAAACGAAGAAAAACAGAATGAAGAGTTTGAGAATAACAGGGAGAACCCATGGAAGCGATTCTCCCAGTGACAGTACCTGCAAGTGTCCAAGGGATGAAAATCAGATTCTTAAGGCCTGCTGGAGGCCTCCCAGTGCCATATCCTCATTCACTGTCATGCAGTAAACATTTACATAGCTTCTGTTACGTGCCAGGTATATTTTCTCTCAGTCTATGTCTTGACTTTTCATTCTCTTAACATTGCCTTTTGCAGAGCAGAAATTTTTTATTTCAATGAAGTCCAATTTATCAATAATTTCTTTCATGGATCATGCTTTTGCTGTTGCATCTAAAAATTCATTGCCAAACCCAAGGTCACCTAGATTTTCTGCTGTTATCTTCTAGAAGTTTTATAGTTTTGCATTTTACATTTAGGTTTCTAATCCATTTTGAGTTAATTTTTGTGAAAGGTGCAAGGTCAGTGTCTAGATTCATTTTTATTCACAAAAATGCCTGCTTGTTCCAGCATTGTTTCTTGAAAATACTCCCTTTCTCCACTGGATTGCCTTTGCATCTTTTTCATAGGTCAGTTAACTGTATTTGTGTGGGTCTCTTTCTGGGCTCTTTATTCTGTTTCATTGGTTTACTTGCCTGTTCTTTCACTAATAACACTTTGTCTTGATTGCTATAGTTTTATAGTAAGTCTTGAAGTTGAATAGTGTCAAAATTCTCTGACTTTGTTCTTCAATGTTGTGCTAGCTGTTCTGGGTCTTTTGCTCCTCCATCTAAACTTTAGAATCAGCTTATTGATATCCACAAAGTAACTTGCTTTGTTATTGGGATTGCATTGAATCTCAATAGACCAAGCTGGGAAGAACGGACATCTTAACAATATGGAGTCTTCCTATCCATGAACATGGAATATCCTTCCATTTATATAGATCTACTTTGATTTCTTTCATTAGAGTTTTGTAGATTTCCTCATATAGATCTTATACATATTTTGTTAGATTTATACCTAAGTAATTTTGGTTTTGATGCTAATATAAATAGTATTGTTTAAGTTCAAATTCCAATTGCTCCTTTGGTATATAGAAAAGCAATCAACTTTTGTATGTAAAGCTAGGGTTCTACAACCTTGTTGTAATTGCTTATTAGTTCCAGGAGGGTTTTTTGTTGATTCTTTGGGACTTCCTACTTAGACAATCATGTCATCTGCAAGCAATTTTATTTCTTCCTTCCCAATCTGTATACCTTTTATTTCCTTTCTTGTCTTATGTTTATATTAGCTGGAACTCCCAGTACAATGTTGAATAGGAGTTATGAGAGGGGGCATCCTTGCCTTGCTCCCCATTTTAGGGAAGGCATCTAATTTCTCACTATTAAGCATGAAATATAAAATAGTTCTGCTGGCCAAAGCCGAGAGTACCTTTGGGGAAGTGACAGGGGAGGCAGATGATGCAGACAGCACCGGGTTGTTAAGGGCCATGTGTGCTAAGCAGAGAAGTTAAAACTTCAAAGTTAAAGACCATTAATCAGGAAGGTGACATGATCAGATTTGCCCTGGCTGCAGGGTGAGAACAGATGGGGAGGTGAGGCTGGAGCCCAGAGATGGCTCAGAGGTGGTCTTTGCTATAATCCAGGCAGGAGCTGATGGTGGCTCAAAGCAGGGCAGTTGCACTGGAACAAAGAGAAGTAGGTGGATTTGAGAGATATTAGGTAAGCAGACATGACAAAGCTTGCT